TTTCATTTTCCGCAAATTGCATGTGATTTTTTTTTGCGCATTGTGCAATAAGCATTTGACTTGAATTTTATTCACTGGTAATATCCACCTTATGTAGTACCCTTCTCCGAATATAGTACCTCCGGGTACCTGGTACTAATGTCAGCGCTATACGGTAGTGCCCTTTCTATGGTTTTGTTGAGGAGACGCTCATTACATCTATTCCGATACCAAGAATACATATTGTCCCCTCCAATAAAATAATATGCCAATGCAGTCTACAAATAGCAAAATGTGTTGAGAAACCTAGCTATTCATGCAAACAAAAATATACCATACCGGAAGACGTTCTGCAGTGTCTCTTGCAAACTTAGTCAAATAGGGGGAAGAATTAACGAGAAAGGTGCGGGAAGAAGGCAGGGGTGTCTTCTTAATTTTATTGCCAGTCTCTTCTACTACCGTTTCCTCTTTTCCCTTTACGTTTCCATTTTTCTCTAAATTTGCTTTTCCTCTATAATTTCTTTATTTATCTCCCATTCGCTTTGTATAAGGTCTCGAAAATGACGATTGAAGTAAATCAAATCTCGAGTTCTTAAGCGTAAGTTTCAGCAACTGAAGAGGTGGTACTCGATGGTCAACGAAGTGAGATGGGGAAACGCTCTTACGAAAAGCGAGAGTAATTTTTAAGAAATACTGTAAAAACGAGTTTAAAAAAAGACTCGTGTTTTAATCTACGAATTATTCACGGAAAATTTTCTTCGAACCGCAATCTAGAAGTTGTACAAACGGAAAGCATGTAGGGGCCATGACCGCAGTTTGTTGTTAAGATTGCACGCGAGTCGGATGTTTTGATTAATAACATTTGATTCAATGTTGATTCAATTTTTTTATTTCGTAATTTTATAATTGATTTTTTCGTTCTCCATTCTCTTCGATACATAGCTTTGCATTTAATAGATGAAGATAGTGTTGATCACAAGGATATCCTAGGAAAATCATGCATGCTTGTCGGAGATATCATTGAAGAGAACCATGAGTTTGTAGTTTGTAGTATAGAGGAGAAAGGCAAACTAACCACAATAAGATTTAAGTCCTGGTTGTTTGAAGTTAACACTGATGAGTTTAAAACCTAGAGCTGATTTGTTTTTACTGTTCAAGGTCCTCTTTTTGATTGATATTAGAGACTCAAATATAGAGGAAACTTCATGGCGGTGGTTGTGATCGAAGTCAACTCTGGAAAAATTACAACCTAATTTAGAAGTGAAAAAAACTACTTTAAGACAGAGAGAAATGTTACGTAAACTACTTTTTTCTCAATGGAATATTTATATTTGTAACAATTTAAAGGTTGCAAACCTTGTCGTGAGAACGATTTGTTTTATGAGGAATTTTTTTAATGCGTGAAACAATCTTTTTTTTTCTTGAAAACCAACTTCTATTCATTCAAATATAGAGCTATTTGTTTAATACCTTTTTATATATATATATATATTTTACAATATGGCACAAGATCTGGTGGGTAAAAAATGCATCCTATTTATACTCTATTATAAAATCTTTTTTTCTTTTGGTAATTATGACAACTAATAAATCGATCCGAATTATAAAAGATTCCGACTATACGTGTTAAGTTTTTATTGTTGAATAGACCATAAAAATTGTGTACATTTATTAAATTTTTTATTAAAAAAAGAAACTTGAAAATTTTGAAAAATTTTCTTTTATATCAATAGATGGATGGATAAAACGATGCAACCAAAATATAACTTACAAGATTTTGATGGAACTTCATATGATAGATTAATTATCCTTCTTTTTATAAAATGTTTGTGCTCGAATACACCTTAAGATTCTACTCTATTGCTTAATAATCCTAATGATTCTTCTTCTACATTAACTTTTTTAGGTCTTTTCCAAAGGAAACATATTCCGCGCCTAATAATATTTAATAATTCATCTTTTTTGGCAAAAATCCAGGGTTTCGAACTTGATATTCTCTCAGTCCTTAATCGATGAGAACTATCAATACAAGAGAACACACATACCTTTATATCAAAAAAAAAAAAAAAATATTATATATAATATATTATAAATTGTTAAGTTTACTGTGGGAAAAAAAACTATGATGTACTTACAACTATTGAAGATAATACGCCTAATGCTGTAGACGCAGATATCATGAACATGATAATCTGTTGATATTTAACTGCGACCATTATAGGTGCACCACCAATAATTTGACCAGTCATCATACCTATGAAAATATAAATACTTAGATAAAGGAATTAAAACATTGTTACTATACAATAAATTACCTGGAATAGAAATCAATCCGATAATACTGAAATTTAATATGATAGATTTAGTAAAATGTTTCTGATATAATAAGACACAGACTAGGAGTTACCTCATTGAATTGATTGTAGGCAACATGGCTAATCTTATCGCCTCGACTGCAACTGGACGACCAGCTTCCCACCGAGAAGCACCAAATGACAAGTACATTTCTAGCTTTTCTTTTTGTTCACTAGTGTAAAGAACAAAATTAATAAAAGAAAGGAGTGAACGAGACATCGCGTGATAAATACCTGAATTGATTAAGAGCATAAGACGTACCAACAGCTATTGCGGACATACCATTCCCAAGAAGCATACCCATTGTTGGAATAAATATTTGCGGATCCCAAAATTCTTCTTGATTCAAAGCGTAGCGCGAACCTTTATTAACAAGTAAATTTTGGAGATTATGTAAAGAATAAAAAAAAATATGAATGAATACTAAAGATTTTTACCAATGATACCAACTACCATAGTACTTAGTCCCAGTGAAAGAAGGACGGATATGAACTATTAAATTTACGATCATGATATATCGTTAATAATCCTCTAAATAAGAATAACAAATGCAATCTCGTGATGCATACCATTCCAGAATGCCTCCTCTTGCTCTTGTTAAGTACGATCTCATTGGCGCCGAGAAAAACAAGAATAACTGAAAAATCGAATATTGCAAGAATAATTTAATTAATGGAGTCCTAAAACAATAAATCTAATGATTCATTGTTTGACCTACATATCATTGCTAGAACAATAAAAGGATTCTCTGCCTTGAAAACATCCTCAAGTACTAAACCCTATTTGTACAATCGGATAAATTAACTAAAGTAAAATTTGATTATAAATAAACAAATTAAAAAAAAAATGTAACGAACCATTAAGGTCAGCTGTACAACACAGCGAACCGAGCTGACAAATAAAGAAGCTTCTAAATGCAAACCAAGCCATATAGAAATTACGCCTAGAGAGAGTTACAGCGAGAATTAATATTTATTTATATATGATCAGAAGACTAGAGAATTTAATAACTGCTATATACCGTTGATAAGTATAAACATTGAAGCTATTCCTACATGATACCATTGGAGCGAAGATTCAACTTCACCGGTATCTTGATAGCAAGTATTGTTGTTAGTCGAGGCTCGATAAAGAAATAATGGAGCGTTGGTATCAAATATCATTATGTATTATGTAGGCGAATTTCGAAAACTAAAAATATAGATCCTTTTTTGTTCAATTGTATTACCAACTATTTTAATACAATTTACCAATTTACCAAAAATAGAAAGGCTAATTTTTTGGTTTTGATTATGGTGACAAGCGGCTTAGTCGCATCCAATGATTTTCAATGATTTTAAAATGTAAAGGAATTTTATTGAATCATATGACCACTAAAAAAAAATACGTTCACAGATAGCATTTGATATAGTCTTTAAAGTAACGTATTTGTTTTATTCGTTTTATTATAAAAAATTTTTTTAGTTAGGTTTTTTTAATGTTAATTTTAATATCAATAGAAGAATTTTCAGCGCTACCGGTATCACTTGAATACAATATGATTGGTGCGTATTATCACTGACCGTATATAATTGGATAAAAAAAAAGGTTTTTTTCTTACAAGTCTCCGAATTCTTCCAAAACAGTTATGATGAGACCGGTACCGCTTGATTGCAAAAACAGCTGCCTTACCTGAAAGTTCAAGTTCATAAGCACTTATGTAGCATGCGGAATGATGTATGAACCAGCGAATTTTCGTCAGACTAATTGAATCTAATGCACATAGTACAACTTCCTTTAAGTGCACGAACGAATAATTGCAGTGAAGACGTGAGTACCGCTTCTATACATGAAGTCGAAATGAAAACCCAAAAGTCGAAATGTTTTGACTTTGGAGGTCAAAGTCAAAATGAAAAGTCGA